GCTACCGCCGCCCGCACCGTAAACACGGGAAACGGCGACAGCTTCTTACGGCGCGATGATTGGCACCGGGGCTGGCCAATCGCCGAGCTCTCCCGGCGGCGAGAGAGCGCCTATTAGCCCTTCGCCCAACAGAGGGCGGGGAGTCGGCATGGTGCGTGAGGAGAACTGAAGCCGCTGCGGCGCCATCTTGGCCAAGGGCGGAAGTTTTCCTGCGGGGAGGAGGCGAGTGCGCTGTTACACCTGGCAACGGGCCGCGGGGGCCTCAGTGCGGCTGCGCGGTGGGTGCGGGGCGTGCGGGGCCGGTACCGGGGCCGGTACCGGGGCCGGTACCAGTGTAAGGGGGGGGCAGGGGCCTGCTCCGGGCCAGCGGCCTCCCAGTGCTGTAAGGGGGGGGAGGGGAGTGCCTTGTGGCGCCGGTGCCTGGGTGCGCCCTGCGGGGGGCTCTGCCGCGGCCTTTCCGAGGAGGTTCCGGCCTTCTCCCCGTGCCTTCCCGCGGCTGGGCCGGTAGCCGGTGTCACCCCGACCCTCAAGGCAGCTTTGCCAGCGGCGGCTTAAGCCCGGCGGTTGCCGTCGCCCAGCGGCAGCTCCCGGTGAGAAACGGCTTCTGCCTGGCCCCGTGACGGGGTTTTCGAGGGCTCCTCGTGCAGCAGCTGCTCTAGGTGTAACTGGTCATTTAAATGCAGAAAGCTGCAGCAGGCCAGTAATTATTTCTTACAGCTCTTGCTGTAATCATGGGAGCGGTGTTGATCCTGACAGCCACCCCTGTGTTGCGCGTAAGCTCCGTCGTCTTTCAAATAGTATAAATATTTCATTCAATATTCAAATAAGCACAAGATCGTGTTACAACGAGGAGAGGTGAAGCTTTGGGGTGCCTGTCAAGCCGCTGGGTTTGAATTCCCTCTCTCAGCAGGCCGCTGCCTGTTTCCGTGGGATGAGCTGTCTGCTGCCCTGCGCTGTGCTTACACTCATGGGACTGTTCTTCGCCAGAACGATGGCCTGGACGTCAAGCGGAAAGACACACCCCGAGCTGGTCAACAATCTCTACAGTGAGTACCAGAGCTGCCGGCAGAATCTGTTGGCACTTCAGTGTAAGGTTATTTGGTGTTACGCAGCCATATGCTGCAATTCTGTTCACTGTGAAACGTTGGAGTTACACGGCCTGAATTTCAGTGTTTGTCCCCGTCTGAACTTGTTCTATTTATAATTGGAAACAAGATGTTACGCCAGGAAAGACGCTCCATGGCCTTCCCTCTGCTCCTCCGGAGTGGTGAATGCCTGACACCTTTTACAATGCTGCACACCGTGAGGTCGCTCTGAGCCTGCAGCTGCTGAGCTCCCTGGCAGTCTGTGCTCCCTTCCCCGGGGCTGGGGTAGTACTTGGTGCCACCACTGCTCTGGATGGCGGCTGGAACACCCTTAAAAACAGCTTTGAATTTTCCATGCTGCTAAAGCTGTTTTTTCCCCTGTAAGAGTTCCCTCAGAGATGGGGTGTGAAGGGATGCTGAATATTTCTGCAGTCGTTGCTATTAACTTTAGTTTACTCGCTGTGCCAGTGCTCCTGAAACCTGATCTGGGGTCTCCGCTTTCAGGAGTGAAAGTGTGACTCTATCTTTCATTATGTTTGGCAGTCCCAGAGACATTGCTGGTGTAAGTCGCTATCCTCCAAGAGAGACTGGGCTGGCAGTTGGGACGTAGCATGATTTCATTTGGGGTAGCACAAACCGGAAAGGAAGTTACTTCCATCTGCGGTTTTGTTTTCTGTCCCTTCTCAGATCACTTATTAAGGTTGAATTCTCCCAGTTCCATTGCCTCCATGAACTGTACTCTGCCCTTCCAAACTTCTTTCTGCAGTACTGAGGATTTAAGTCCTTTCTGTCTGTTTTCCTTCTTCCCCCAGAAAAAGGGATAATTAAATCCCAGCGAGTCTTTGATGTGTTGTTGGCTACTGACAGAGGTCACTACATCAAATATTTCCCATACATGGATTCTCCTCAATCTATTGGTGAGTAACCAACAGCAGAAGGACACGGACCTGCTCGAGCGGGGCCAGAGGAGGCCACAAAGATGCTCGGGGGGGCTGAAGCCCCTTCCCTGTGAGGACAGGCTGAGAGAGGTGGGGGGGGTCAGCTGGAGAAGGCTCTAGGGAGACCTTAGTGAGGCCTGCCAGGACTGAAAGCGGGGAGGGACTCATCATCAGGCAGGATAACAATAGGATGAGGGATAACGGGTTTAAACTGACAGAGGGGAGATTTAGAAGAGATCTAAGGAAGAAATTCTTTCCTGTGAGGATGATGGGACACTCTCACAGGTTGCCCAGAGAAGCTGTGGCTGCCCCCTCCCTGGAAGGGTTCAAGGCCAGGTTGGACGGGGCTTTGGGCAACCTGGGCTAGTGGAAGGTGTCCCTGCTCAGGGCAGGGGGGTGGGACTGGATGGGCTTTAAGGTTCCTTCCAGCCCAAACCAGTCTGTGATGATAAATTCTGTCATTTGTTTCCTTTTAGGATACAAGGCTACAATCAGTGCACCACATATGGTAAGATGAAACTTTTTCACTTTCAATAGAAATGGAGGAAATTGTTTGTTTGCCATTTTTTATTTTAGTTTGTCTTTTTCTTAAATGTAAAGAGGTGAAACAGATCCCACAGACATGATTATCATGCTTGTTTCTTTAGGCATGGTATACGTGAAGGTTTTTTTCTTTTTAAGAAGAATTTGCCCTATACTCTTTAAGTTGCTTTAAAATATGATTAGATAGGAATTCTGTGCAGCTGAGGTTAGCCATTGACGTTGTCCTTTTTTGCATGAGACCTTTTTTCCTGCTGCTTTACATCTTATTACTGAACCTCTTCCTAAATGCTGTTCTGCAAAAACGGAAACATTTGAGTTTCTGAATGTGTCAGGCAAAGTGCCGGGTGTGTTGTGTTTAAATCTGAGCAGGTAATGCTTTGAACACAAAAAAGTTTTAGGAGAGGAAACTGAAATGGGATATTTCACATCTTGTCTCTGCAGCATGCCCATGCACTGGAATTACTAAAGGACCAGCTGGTGGAAGGTGCAAAAGCACTGGATGTGGGCTCGGGCAGCGGCTATCTCACAGCTTGCTTTGCCAGGATGGTAAGCTGGAAGGGCTCTGTTTCCAGCTGCTGAGCTGTCTCGGGATGGGTCATTTGCCAGAGCTGGTGTGTGCTTTCTGCAGGGAGAGGAGGAGGTGGGAGGAGGGGGTGACCTCTGCCCAGACCAGTTTGTAGTAAAAAAATGTAGTCATTTTTTCAATCTAAATGGATGCTGTATCTGCGGTGAGGTGTTTTGTCTGATAACCCCGTTCAGATCAAGGGGAGTGTGTTAATCTACTGTGCCAGTCCACTGTCGGTTCTTCTTCGTTTGCTTCTTAAGTAGTCACAGCGTGTTTCTTTGTTTTCTAAACTCCTGAAATTATTTTCTGTGACGTGCTGGAAAGCTGGTCAGGTTCCTCTTCCTCAGGAGGTTAGTTAGTCAAGAGCTGGCCCTGCCCCAGAAGCTGCTAATTCTACCAATAATTGTTTATTTGGAAATGAAGAATTACTGGGAATCCCTGTAGGCAGTGTCTAGTGTATCCCTTGAGTAGCTAATACAACTGGGACTCCTCAGCCTTAAAACCAAAGGGGCAGAATATTTGCACCTCCTGTTCAGAAACTCTGCTCTTAAGTTTCTTCTTGGAAATCCTCCAGTCAGTAACTTGCCCCATAAGATGCATCTCTGCCCATATAGGAGGTATATAGGTGTTTATCTGCTGTTTTTCTTTTCAGATGGGCCCAACAGGGAAGGCTGTGGGCGTGGAGCACATTAAAGAGTTGGTACATGAATCCATCAGAAACGTGCAGGAGGATGATCCAGCTTTGCTGAGCTCTGGCCGTGTCAAGCTTGTGGGTGAGCTCCCTGGGATCCTGGTGCTTGTTCTGGGAACGTGTCTGCTCTGGCTGCCGCAGGGCTCTGCCTCTCCAAGCGCTTGTACCACCTGGTGTTGGTGCGTGCAACAGTGTTGCCAGAAACCACTGGCTGAGTAAGCGCTGTGCCACACCAACCTGAACACCACGGTGTAAACAAGTGGTATTTAATGTCACAGGCAGTCTCATCACACCCCTTACCTCCGAGTGTGTAGTGACTATCTTAATGCAGTAAGAGACACTGTTTTGAGGGGAGCGGCTATACCACATCTGGGTGTTAGTTTATTTGAATGGGTTTGCATAGACTATTGTGGGTTTTTTTGGAGAATAACTTGAGTCAGCTCTTCCCGTGTCTGGAATCTCAAGCTTGCACAAAGCCACTGCGTTATTGAAAGGCCTTCGTGGCTTTGACAGTTCTTCCTTCTAGCATAGCTCCATTCCAGAAATCTCTCTCCCTTTTTAAAAAGTAAACCAACAAAATTCATATTTCCATCACAACCGTGTTACAAAGTTTTCACCATCTAGATTTCAGTTGAAAGGATATAGGAGGAATTATTTCTGCATGGAGTTGCTATCAGAACAAAGGTCTTTTCTGCATGCTTTTCCCTCCTACAGTGGGAGATGGCAGGCAGGGATACCCCGAAGAGGCTCCTTATGATGCCATTCACGTTGGAGCAGCAGCAGCAACTGTACCCAAGGAGGTAAGAGCAATCATGCTGGGTGTCTTGCTGTGGGCTGCCTGCATCAGTAGCTCTGAAAAAACTAATAATTAGGGAACCGTTGGAAGCTTCTTTTTTCTCTGTTTTATATGGAGCCAGCAAGCTTGTGCTTTTCATGGTGTCATGACCTTCATAGTGTAGCTTATTTCTACTGTCTCTTTTTTTTTTTGGCTCTGCTGATTCTGATTTCTCTGCTTGCCAGTTGCTGAATGAATTGAAGCCAGGAGGTCGGTTAATATTACCTGTTGGTCCTGAAGGTGCAAACCAAGTTCTGATGCAGTACGACAAAACCAGCGATGGGCAGATCATCGAAACGCAACTGATGGGCGTGATCTACGTTCCTCTGACGGATAAGGAAAAGCAGTGGCCTCGGTAAAAATTCGCTCTCCCTTGAGGAATGTTTCTTCTTCGCAGCTGTCCCTGTGAGCTTGCTCTCCTTGACTGCTGGCTTTACAGAGTCCTGGATTCCTAGCTGATCCTGTTTGTAGAAGAGAGAAGAGGCTTGCCTGTAGAAAGGCACAGCAGGAGAGCAGGATGATTTTTTGTTAGATAGGACTTGCAGACTGAGGACTTGAGCTTTTTTCTTTCTCTGGAGCCTGTGCACTTGCATAAACACTGTAGCTCTAGCCATGTTGATTCTGTTGCTGAGCTGGAGGCTGCAAATAGTAACTGTTGGTTTTTCTTTGCCTCAGGGATGAATTCTGACGGATGGATATCTCTAAAGTGACCTGAGAAAGCTCATGAATGGGACTTGTGTCTGTAGATGGTCTGTATGGTTTTGCTTTTTGAATGGAAGCTTTATCAGTGGACGTGCTTGCAAAGGCAAGTTCTGCTTTAGCAGAGCTCCTTACGGAGGGGTGGAGAAAAGGGTGTTTTTCCAGGAGCAGGGAGAGGCTCTCAGAAGCAGTCTTCTTCCAGACTGGATCCAGATAAACCCCACTGTCCTCTCTGATAAGCTATAGATAACATCTGTTCTCAGAAGATTCTAAAAGCAGACAGGAATACTTAAAGCTAAACTAAAAATACTCTTTAATATTGACTACTCAGCCTAATGCTTAAAGGAAGTAAGATGCGGTTACTGTTTCAGAGCAGCAATCTACCCTGATTTGGCAAAGTTTAATTAAGAGAGCATGTTCTCTTCCGGTCCTGCATCAACTAATTTAATCTCTGGTAGCAACACTGAGAATTTTGCGTTAAAATCCCGGTCTCTGGGCTTTTCCCTGACGCGCCCTTCCATCTCCCGCTGGCGCTTGGCCTCACGGGCGCCTGACTCGGGTTAAGAGCGGCGGGTGGGCTCCTCTGGAAGGGCCGTAGAGGAGGAAGCGCGGCGCTGGCCCGGTGTTCTCCGGTAAATAAAGCGTTCCGGCGCCGAGCCCTCACCAGAGGGGACGGGAGGGAGATG